AAAAAAACTCGGGCGGTCTAACAACAATTAACAGACATTTATCAAGCGTTAATGATACTTGTCGGACAACACGCATTCCCGGAGCCGCCGGCCTGACCGCCAGTCCCCTGCCATCCGTCTGATTACACACGTACCCGTACCACTCGCCGGCCACATACATTCCTAAGCCACTTGTCTGACCAGATTCATCCCTATACCACTTGCACCCCCTCTCCCCATACATTTCTAAACTACTTGTCTGGCCACATACATTCGTAAACCTCTCGTCGGACCACACGCGTGTTCGAACCACTTGTCCGAACACACGCGGCGGAGCCACTCGTCTGATCACACACAGGCCGGAACTACTCTCGTCCCGCTACATATATTTATAATCGTCGACCTGAATGCGTGAAGGGTTGAACAACCAGTCCGACTGTTTCCCGCTGATTCTCCCAGCACGTTTCCCTCGCACGCGCGTCTCCCGTTCCAAGATCATAACTCTTTCGCGACGACTGAAATCAAGCAACGGGCGACGCGGCTTCGTCTGCTAACCCCGGCGCGCTCGTCATGAAATGGAATTTCAATTTGCTGCTCGAGGAAGAGCCGGCTCACGGCCTCCTAACGAGGGATGCAAATTTCATCGCGGCGTCGCAGCCCGAGACCGAGGTGAGCGCGCGCGAGTTCGAATCCCGGCCGCGTCAAAACGTATTTCAATCCGCGCCGCGGCCCCGCGCCGGTCTAAATCATTCATCCGATTAATTATTCCCGCTCGCGGGGGCCTCTTAACTGCGATCGAATCGATCGATACTACACTGTTCCGCGGTAGATCGTGGTCCAGACGATTTTAACCCGTCGACGAAAATTGGCCGGCCCGCGACGGCTTATTCCGGTCCGGAGCGCGAGGTCGGCTGATTATTAATTATTGTTGTTCTCGGCAGACCAAGAGCTACCTAACCCGTAGAAGGCCACGCGAAATTTTCGTAATTAAGTCGCTGTTTTCAACGAGGTAAATAATAAATAGATCAGGCTGTTATTATTAGAGCGCGGATATTCGTGCGAAATAAAAAGTTAATTGCAAGGTACAGATAATTGGTAGTAAATTCATTCTTCCTTTTTCTCGACCATCCGAAAGTTTCGTAATAGGCTTGCGGATTTTTAGGCAAAATAAACATTTCTTTTTTTCCTTTAATCATCTTAATAGATTAGAAATAATACATCGACGTTTCAAGTTGCTTTTAATCTTATTTTAAATTCTAATTACCTAATTGTGTGTGTCTCATACATGCATAAAATCTGCAGTCTAATTGTTATAATTGATTATTAATAATAGTATAATTGGTTATAAATAATTGATAATAATATAATTGATTTATAATTGATCATAATTTATTAAATGTAACAGTGAATCTTGTTATATTTATATAGAAATATAATTGCCATTTTATATAAATTACCGAATATGAAAATTTAACGTTTGCGGGATGGTTAAATAATTCTCGAACGTTTTAGAAAGTCTTTCGTCTTTTCTTCATTGTTCCAAGCATTAAAAAGATGTTCTACTGCTTTGTCGTCGATAAGACTAAAACCTCTTTCACGACACTTTTTCATCATAAATCTTTTTCAGCATAATCTATTATGCGCGCGTTCCGGTTACTTACCCACAAGTCTGCTGGGCCTACATCCATTTGTTGCAAAGTTTATTAATTTCTTACAACAAGTATGACACAGAAGAGTAGTTGTTCAAAGAATACGTAATGATAATGCATCATTTGACGTTACTCAATTATATTCCTAAGTAACCGTTATTATCAACCACAGGGAAGAAAAAGAACACACGAGGGAAGAAAAATTCCACAAAGTCAATATCAATAAAAAATTGAATCAAATACAATGAGCACCTTTTACCGACTCTTTGCCTGATCCTTTCGACCGCACATGCGCGATGCAATAGAAATTATGCAGCAAAAATCGATCTCTCGTAGAACCGTTTTTGATTCGAGAATTGTAAAAATCCTTAACAGAATTATTCATTGGCCGACCCAGCAACTGTGTTATCAAGATGTCGGCGAGTCGTCGTCGAACGCGTTGCGAAGGTTTTCATTCGCGTGCAGCGTCGACAGCGAAAACGACGAGGCTCGCGGTGCTCCACGGACTGTAAACGATTTCCATTCGTCGGACCGGGGATGTTTCATAAAGAAAGAAGCCTCCTCGAGGAAGCCGCGGTACGCACGCGACCTCTCATCCTTATCTTCGCCCATTACCCCCAGCGACAACGCGGTTCCGCGGGGAGAAACGTTTTCACGGCTGTCTGCGTGTCAGCGAAAAACGCTGCTCTTTGCGTTTCCCCTGTTTCCGGCCGCGCTGCACGCTAACCTTGTCTGCGTTCCTGCTTGAATTACCTGCGAAACGTGCGACACAAACCACGAGCTTAGCTAAAAATTTTGCGGACCGAAATTCCGGTGTTCCTCGGACTATAGTTCTTGCGGCACGGTCACCTGAGAACTTATTTTCTCAGGTAAAATACTTGGCGACTCTCTTCACTTGCCCCAGAAAGAGCGATCGTTTGTCTTTAACAATTTATTTCGCTGCGAAATGAAGATGTCGATTTGCAAGAGAAACTTTCCAGACGAATAAAATGTTCGCACTTTCTTTAACACGTTGTGCAGCCATGCTCATGTGTTGGTAGACTGATGATCTCTATGCGAAATAAAAACATTCGAACACGACTGTAGGAAACCATAATTAACACTAAACCTACCAAGCAGTACTGCTTCACAAAAGTGAGAAGACCGAATTTATTTAGAGTTTGTAAAGTTTTTATTATAAAACTTGCTCCAATAGTATAACTTATTCAAGAGCGTTTTCCACGAAAGAGGCTCGGAACTTTGCAGAATTGCAAAATAAGAAAGCGGTCACTTTGACTGCGGTAGGTTTAGTGTTAAATACAAATAAATTGTCTCTTCGAAGAATTTTGATAAGTCCAAAATAGTGTAACAATATCATTCATTTCTTCTTACGTTTTCACGATCTTATATTTCATTTACTTATTTTCGTCGCGAATGCATAAAGTCCACGATTTATATATGAGTGACGTTAATCGTGAAAAATTAATTTGTGTCATAAAAATAAGCATTTATAGGATCCAACGAGATCGCACACGTAATCGATGAATTAAATTTTGTGGTTTCAGTAACTAAATTACTTTTCTGTGTGGAATTTTTTTGAGCTGACATACGAGCCGTTTATTTTGAAAGTGGCATAAGTCACTTTTTCAAAAAAATCGAGCTAATGGTAACACTAATTACAATTCAACGGTATCTTTTCATTAAAAAAAAAAAAGTGACTTGTGCCACTTTCAAAATAAACGGCTCATATATCAATATCTAAACATCCTTAAATTCTGTATATTGTAGTATCGCTACATTAAATTTCACTCGATTCCGCCATTAATCCATAAAGCGTCCGGCCAGGCGCTGTCTTATTCCACTTACAAATTTAAAGTTTCTCCTATTAATTTCGATTTGTACTTGTTCCACTTATCACATGGAAATTCAATCTGGCTCGATGCCAGCTTTATCTCCATATCCGTCTTTGTACAGTGGCTGGCAAAAGTTTTTCGTCCGCGATGGACTGACTCATTCGATTCCGTATTATGAAGCTTTCGGTAGCTGTACCGAATCGAACTGCCACGGAAACTTTACTGTTCGGCATGATCAATTTTTATCGAGCCACCGATGAAAGCCTAGAAAATGAAATCGAATGAACCTCGTATGGTGCAGGCACGAATTTCTGCATTCTACTATGGGGCCGTGTACGGCCGCATTCGATTCGTCGTATTACACGCTGTTTTCTTGAATAATACAAAAATATCGCGTCGAACGGAACAACGGCTTTTCCCGCCGAGTATATATATATATAACCGTGCATGAGAGTTTAACGGTGGAACGGAACGAGAGAATGATTTCCCTATAAATCGGAGAGCCACTTTCGAAAGCGCTTTTTAAATCCCCGGATTTCGAATTAAATATTTCAGCGGGCCGGTGACGCGGTCGTTCGTTCCCAGGCCGTTTAATCTCAGGCTGGCCGTAGTGTCAAATCGATGTGGAATGTAGGTCGAATTCGGCTTACCGGAATTGATTTCTCCGGTTTCTGAATTATTGTTGTAGTGCGCGTGCACTGGACTGTATGACAATCCCTCCCTGCTAACGCTGCCACCCTCTATCCCACTCCCACGCGCCGCCCTCCCCCATCCCGCGCTTCTGTTGTCCGAGCCCCAAACGCAAAATGCGATACCCGCATGCGATATCAAAGCGTTCATTGTCAAACCGCTCGACGGCTCTCTCGCGCTCGGAAAATGCTCTCGAGTGATACTGTTGCCAATCGAGAAATTCTACCGTGTTCTTACCTTATGAATAATTATGTAAACGAGCTCGTAGAAAATGTTTTACTTAGAAAATTCCGAGCGCAGTTTCAATTTTACTCGTTCCTGAATGCTCGCGTCGCATTAACGCTTGCTTCTCTTTATCCGTGCAAGCATGATTAATAATTGTTCACCTATACCCGCGGAGATCGATCTTTAAATGGAGGTATGAAAGCAACATTCAATATTCAAATAAAAGCATTAAAACTTTATCCGGAAGCGCCATTAGGTGTTTCATTGGTGAACGGAGGTTGCCAGCGTGTAAATTATGAAGCCAATAACATAAATCATGAAAGCATATCTGAAAAGCAACTTTTCCAAAAACCCATTTGCAAAGCTAGATAATCCAGCGATCGAAGCGAAAGCCTGCCTCGAATTCCATGACCGATTTGAAAGATTAAAGGATTACGGGCGGCTTCGGTTTCATTTCGAAAATTTCTTCGAAGTCCGCTAACGATCCTTATTATGAGACTCGAATGATCGGACCGAATCTTTATGGTGATCGAGCGAAACGAGAATTTCATGTAAATCCATGGAGAACCGATGGGGTTCACCGTAAATTCGAGTATCGCTGACAAGTTTCCCGTTTGTGTTTCAGCGTACATTTTGGAAATTGTGCTTGGCCAGCAAGGACCGGTGTTCGTTCTCGAGCCACCAAGTACCCTGGACTTCTCCAATACCACGGGCTCCCAGCTAAGCTGTTCTGCCCATGGGAGTCCGACGCCGCACGTCACCTGGATAACTAGCCCAGATCAGAGACCGGTCACTGCTGTTCCCGGGCTTAGGTAAGCAATCAACATAAGAGCCTCATATGGGACAATGTGCCCGGAATAGTCCTCGAATATAATTTCGATGCCGTGCATATGAAATTTACATCTGATTTCGGATCGCCGTGCGTTTCGTCACGTTCATTTCCGTATGGGAGAGAAGTCGAAATTCCTTAACACGTTGAATGCCACGTCGGTTTTACAGAAATTGTCCGTGGCGCCACGATGAATTCTTTTTTTATGTGATAGATATAATGTTGAAATATTTTATCTGCAATAGATAAGTTACGGTGTATAACTATGTTTGACATGTTAATTGCGGCAGGTGTCACTGTTTGAATTGACGATGGTAATAATACAAAATTTTAGATATTCACATTTGTTTTAAATTATATTAGGTCTATCGGAAAGTTCTGTCCGTTTTTGGATTGAAATATAACACAATTTTCATACATTTAATAATATTTTTATTGTAGAATATACTTTCCATCGTTACTTATGACTTCTTGCCAGCGTGATGGCAACTTGTAAATGCCATTTTTAAAAAATGATTTATTTTTAGTGGCGAAGATCTCAACTAATGCGTGGTTGACATCAGCTTCAGTTTTGAATTTTTTTCCTGTAAAAAGTTTTGCAAAGAGAAAATCAAGTGATAATCGGAGGGTGCTAGGTTTGGAGAGTATGGTGGATGTGACAGAATTTCCCAGCCTAGCTCTGCGATTTTCTGACGAATCGCCAAAGCAGCATGTGGTCTGGCATTATCATCGGTAGCCATGTTTTCACGATCGCGTCTCACTTAATAATGACATGAGACATCTTTGTTTCAGTTTATTTAGGAGAGTACATGTGCGTAAATGCAATGATAAAGAGAGATAGTCATATATGTCTCAAATCAACATGTGCATATGGATTGAAACTCGAAGTGACACTATCGGACAGAACTTTCCGGTAAACCTAATATATATTTCTATCAATTTGGGCGCGCCGGTCACCGGTGGCCCCCATGGCGTCAACGCCAAGTTAAGTGCTGGTCACCGGTGGCCCCCATGGCGTCACCGCCAAGTTAAATGCCGTGTTAAAAGCAATTTAGAAGTTCTTAACTTTATCAATGTTTTTCGAGTTGGGAAACATTTTATTCCGATGACAGATAAAGGATAAAGACCCACGAATAAAAGTTGTATTCGATACTGTCGAATAGATGTTTAAATAAAAGTTTATCTGGATAGAGATTCATTGGAATCAAATTTCAATCGAATAAGATTTTATTCGAATTAGAATGTATTCGTAGAGAAATTCATCCGGAAAATAATTCACAATTTATCGATGTATTTATTTCGTATTATTCTTTAGAATTATTCGAATAATTTCTTATTCGAATAAAGAACCGTTCGTATAGATAGAATAATTAACTAACTAAGAGGAATTCGAATAATTCTCTTAGCTAAATATTTAATCGAATCAATCCGAATAATGTCCAACTCTAGGTCCGTGGCCATGCATGCACGTTCCTAAAAAAAGCTCTCATCTTCATTAATTATCGATTTGTTCTACTTTGTGCCGGGCCTGATAATCCATTGACCTCTCTTCCTCACTCACGTTTGTATACCGCTGCAATCCACACGTTCTTGAATCACGTGTCTAATTAAACCTCCACTTCTTTTTGGAGTATACACTTTTCGCTTGAATACTGGAACTGTATCGTGTGGGGCTAGGTTAACCTCTGCTACTCGTCTGACTATGTACGTCCCATATCACTGGCCGCACGAACCAGTGACGCCCCTCATTCATCTGACTACACGCCACCTACACCACTGGCCTACTTGTCCGACTATAAGCGTTCTAAACCCTCTGCCGGTCCGGTTACAAACGGCCTATACCACTTGCCAACCGAAACACCGGCTCCGTCTGCTTGCCCGTCTCTACACGTTCTATATCACTTGCGAGATACAACGGTGGACACGTCCCGTAGTGTCTGACTACGCGTACCTCGCATCGCTCGCCGGGTCCACACAGCCGTGGAATTCTAAACTTCTTCGGCTGAAAACATTCCGCACCGGTGAAACGGTAATAGCCTGATTAAAGTCGCGTCGCTCTCGGTACACGGCTATCGGATGTGACCATAAACGTCCAACGCCGCAACGCATGTCCCATATTAATCGCCGCAACCAAAGCCAAACACGTTCGTCCGTCCACAAAACTCCTGCGTCGCTCGCCAGACGAATCGCCGACGTCCTCCACTGGCACGACCGAAACATTCGTCAAGATCCAATCGCTCGGCCGGCAAGAAAAGCTATAATAAACGCGGAGGTATGACGGGAACGAGCAATCGTCGGAACGAAACCTTGTCGGCGAGTTTGAAGCGGGGCCGGGAGATAATTCTATTTACTTGTCGCTGGCCGAGATTAGTCTGTCTCACCCTACGTCACGAAGATATTTGTCGAAAAAGAGAGCCGGTCCGCCGCTGGGAAGATGTCCAACGGCGGGTGGGAGGGGAGCCGGCTTTTCGTTGACGGGAGGAACGGCTTCCCGTAATTCCGTTTCAGTTATCGAGCGGCCTTTGTAAGATACGCTTTTTCAGCTGCGAAATTCGCGGCGTTACTCGCAAGAGCGTACGACAAGATAGAAAATGGGTAAGCGGATTAGCGTGTCCGGGATTTAGAAGTTCCGAGCCGCCGTAAATTGCCGGAGTTTCCTGACGCGCACCCGCGATCAAACTTACATTGTCCCGCCGGAAAAATCCGGCCGCGGTGCCGCGCCCGGGGATACCGCCATTATCGCGCAACTTTCGCCGCAACTAATTAATAATTTCGAGCGGCCTCGGCGCGCGATTACGGAGCGCCGACTCTTTTCGCCGGTTCCCGCGTGTCCGTCGAACGGAACGTGTTTTTGGCACAGAATTGGAAGATCATTTATTCGACTCTTCCGCGGTGCTCGCAACGTGGACACCTTGATTGCGAGTTTTTAGAAAAGTTCAGAATATATGAATCGTCTATTCTTGCGTAAAGAAAGGTATTATTAACGTAAAAAATGATTTACTGTCTACGAGAACGTAAAACGAAACGAATAAAATCGACGTAGCTAAACTTCGATTACAATGAACGTAATCGCAACATGAATTACCAATATACTAATTACGGTTTTCTAATATCGGTGCTATGACACTGTAAGATTGATCAATTCGTTGAATTACAACGATGAAGACATTCTGATTCATCAATGATTTTCGACTCATTCGCTAGCAGCGTCATACATTTTGAATTTCACGTGAGGAACATTAAATTAATTTTGTGCATGTAATTATTTAAAATTGCGACACATAGTATGATATTTAAAAAATTTATAGCTTGTCTTTGACGACATTTTTCTCATATTTTATAAAATGATACGATTTATTTAACACGATAATTACAATAAATATAATTTAAATAAATAAATGTAACGTATGCAAAATAAAAATTCTGCACCTCGGTTTCAACAAACAGGAGTTAAATAAACATTTATTCTACTTCTTAACGTTTTTAATAACTTGAAAAAGTTTTACCAGCATTGTTGAATTTATCCTTTGCATTTACTATTTCTTAATCTACCCACGAGCTTCTGTCATAAATGCATAAAATCCAAAGTCCAAATGTAGCTATGTACGTTGTGTGACGTTGCTTCGTTTCATTTTCATTGCGTCGCAATGTTTTAATTTTACTTCTCGAGTCAGAGTAAATTCGCGGATTCGCCGGATTCGAGTTACGTTAATTCGAGGTCATATAAAAATGTCGCGCTGTAGAGAGTCAAGAAAAGCTGAACAGACCCCGTAGTACTGTTCTGAACGCAAGTTAGAAACGCTCTCGGAAATATTCATTTGTAGCGCACAGCTGGAAATCAGTTTACGTTAACAAGCTTTGTGGGTCATCCGAAGTGGAAGTATCTCTGACGATCGGTGCCTGTCGGTATCTATCCCCAGGATGCAACCAGCGGAGCCCTCCGGATCGTGTAAGATTCGTATTATTGGAAGTTTGATGCTGTACGCTCGGCAATATCGTAACCGTGGCACCTGGGGAAACCATTTCCTCCTGGTAATTGAAATGTTCCTTATCCAATGGCCGTCCTTGGTAAGTTCGTCCGCAGTTCGATGTCCCCGGGGAAAGCGTAAACTCTCGTTCCCATGACTTCGATAGATGGGCATCACACGTTAATCACGTTGCCGGAGCGGAACGATGCGAAAAACGTTCGCCGCGAGCGTTGCGGCCATCGACCGCTGGCCGTAAATCGAAAATCCAAAGACGATTTCGCCGCAGCTTTAAACCCGCACGAAATCAAATATATTTGGTAATATGCGGGCAATTTAGGTGAGGTTTTCTCATGGTGCGAGGACACGAATTTCTTGCAAAACGGATTTATTATTCCTGGAATGGCTGTTATTATTCTATCGTTTGTATGATAGAATACAGTTCTACTTCGATTAAATCACAGCAGTTTGAAGGAAAATCTGGATTATTTATTTACTTTTATTTATTGCTTTAGGTACTTAATATTGTAATTACATGAAAATATATCTCGTCAAATCGAAATTGTTTATTTTTGAATAAAATCTTCGTCAATTTTGCGAAAGAAAATGACGAATCCCTAATTTATTCGAAAATAATACAATTTCGTTCGGATACAATTTTACACTACCTAAAAAATAGAAAAGATGGTACAAAACTTGGTTAATAATGTTCTTAAAGAATAAATCACAGCTGACTTATAATTTTGTCCACCGCTGAAATTACATTATTATTCAAACGCAAATAGCTCATTATGATACTGCATTTTTTAATACAAAATAAAATTATTAAAATATATCAAATATTACATTTTTATTGTTCAGAGTTATGGAGTCTCAGTATTCAGAGAAAGAGAGCACAGTAGCAGATTTTTGTAGATCATAAGCACACTTATTTTATCTTCCTATCAACATTGAGAAAAGATTTGATATTAGCGTCACAGGAAAATTTATATCGATAAAAGCAGCTCTGAAATCTACA